CAGCACCACTCTCACTCACCACTACATCGTCCCCAATGCTGCCCCTAGCTCATAACCAGGTCTTCCCACCAGGAAGGGAACCGAGGACACTGGTTCAACTACTGGGAAACGAAATACCGAGGCTCTGCCACGCCACGGACAACGGCGCATCAAAACACTAGAGGCCATGACGGGAAACTCCAATCACTCATTCATGCTACAATTCAGATACCGACAACTGAAAGGGTTCATACACGAGGCCATTCAAAATAATCACCCCCTCAGACCCCTAACAGCGTTTGAAGAGATATGCATGGACCCAGACCCGATGGTAAAGGGCCTATCAACGCTCTATGGAATGATCATGCGGATGAGGAGACTACCACCCCCAAGCTTCATGGGGAAATGGGAAACAGTTCTAGGCACCACATTCACACCCAACCAATGGGACAAAATATGCACCCTTTCACTTCACTGCGCGCCGTCCAGTGGAACGCAATAAACAGCATACAAAATCCTAGCCCTCTGGTACCGCACCCCACTCCATACACACCTATATGACCCCACGAAGGACGACACATGCTGGAGATGCACCACACACACAGGAAAAATTCACGGACACCCCGCCACCCATGAACCCTGCAACATTCCTCATCCATCACACCACGACAAAAACATCGACCTACAAAAAATCCTTGACTATCCGGATACTTAACGTGGCTAAAAGCCTAATCCCTCTCTACTGGAAAAAACAATGCGCACCCCCTTTAGAGACGTGGTACCAAAGTATGGAGGAGCTGAGAGCTCTGGAAGAGCTCTCCCTATTGGCAGAAGGGGAGGACACAGACGTATATGACGATCTGGACACACTGGATCCTGACCACGACCAGCGCAGACTTCCAAGACTTGCTGACCTGACTGAAGACATCTGACGAGACAAAAGACTAACAAGACCAGAGAACGAATACACAAACACGAAGAAACAATACCAACAATAAATATAAAAACAAAATAAAATATACCACCCCCTTTCTCCCCCTCCCCCCCTACCCTCTTCCCCCCTCCCCGGGGGAACCCGCGGGCAGAGAGGCAACACGGTAGAGAAGATGGATGGATGTAGAGACCCCAGGCGGATGGGCACCCCCTAAAAAACGGGAAACGAGTTAGGGGCTCACTGTTTGATGTAAGAAAAGGAGGAACAGGTTCAACCTTGCACCCATTAAAAAATAAATAAAAAATAGAGGCTAGATAGTAGACACGGCCACGATAAAACACACTACCACTACCCAAGCCAGAATAGCAGCAGAAAACCCCACGGACGGCAAAGACCTTAGGTCTGAACCTGCAAGACATAAACATCGTCCTGACATTCCCCCACTCAGTAAGAAACTACTCGCTAATTGCCTTGAAACAGGACATGAATCACCCCTGCCACAATGGGTGACCCAGAATAGCTATAGCAACCGTAAGCTAGGGGGAACAGCCCATCTACGCACATGTTATAGGACCTGCGAGTCCAACTTGAAATTGCCTCTTAATGCTACTGGGTGACTTGCATGTCACCACTGTTGTTCTTTGAACCTACTTCATGTTTGAGAAGTAACTGGAAAGATTCATTATCGGACCTGCGTGTCCACACTGACAACTTCATATAAAATTGAAAAAATCTGAATAAAAGAAATTTACCAAAAAAAAAATCAGGATATGTCAGGATGTTAAATAAGATAAAAAAATAGTACGTCACTGAAAATTCTGAATAAGAAAGACGTCTCATTTTTGTTTTTGCAAAATTAGGGCAAGAATCTTGCTAGGAAAACCTGTCTAGGCATGAGGGACAGGTAAGACAATCCAACATATGAATCATACTAGATATGGTGAGTTGTGTATCACTATATGCAAATAATAACTATTCATCTTAAATTAGATGAGATTAGCTTGCATATAAGAATTACCACTGAACAGGCTAAAATGCACGAGTTAAAGGACCTCTGCTCTCTATCATGGTAGAACACTTGCGAAAGTAAAAATAACAGTACAGAAGAAGAAAAACAAGATTGGTCCTAACATAAACATAGGTGTATGGTGGCATAAAAAAGCAAGGTGGTGACGACTGAGACAAGGTTAAATGAACCCTTGAGTGGAGTGGGCTATGGGCTCAGGATAGTAGGTCAGTGTTAGCCAATTTCCTGGTTCAGGATTGCAGAATAGTTGCTAAATAGTTGCTGAGTAGTGCAGCAAGAATGGGGTGCATTAGGACATCTCTACAGCCCCAGGCCTGACTGAAGACCCACATCTTTGAACTACGGACTCGGGTGCATAAATAGTCCCGTCAGGATAATGCAGATGCTCATGGTGGTCGGCCACTGTAAATGGTGGTAGGTCTTCCGATGACGATGTCAATGCATCAGGGTAATAATTCGAACGGGCCTCAGCTTAGGTAGGCCAAAGATAGGTGGTACAGGAGCTTATAAGGATGCATTACCCTGAGGTGGCGACAGTATACGCAATTTTAATTGTTGCCAGAATTGCAACAATCTAGTATATCTAGGCACTGTAGCATTCAGTCTGGGGCTTTCTCAGGCTGTTGCAGTTTGTGCCCATTTAGAGAGCACATCCGCCATCTTGAGGGGTTTAGCTGTGATCACCATTCGTGCAGTGTTAGGCTTCTAAATACTGTGTTAGTATATGGAATAAGCCAGAGGGGACCGAGAACTCCCACCAGTCCATGGGGGGAACCGGTCCTATCGCGAATAGGCCGCAAAGCCTCAATTGGGGCAATCCAGTGGCGGAGAAGCTCACGGGACGTATCCCAGAAGAACTAGTGTCCCGAACAGGATGATGATGGCACTATGGTAAGGTGAAGTAAATTGCTTGTGAATATTCATGATTATTAGGTGTCAAACGCAGGAGCTCTTGTCTGGACACGTCTGGACTACTCAGTAGCCAGGCTCTGTTCCCCTCTGCCAATATTGTGTACATTCTGATCATTGACGCAAATTAGCACTATTTCTATACATTGCGAGAAGTGGTTACTAGGGTTTACTATCTGGGGACAATGGTCTAATGCCACACTTCCTGAACACAGTGGGTTCTATGGCAAAATAATAGCAGTGAAGAGGAGCACAGCAGAGTGTAAAGCAGTGAGATTAAAAAGTGTGGCTATGATTTGTAGGCAATGGCACACTTGCTGGGCACAGTGGGATAAGAAATAGTTACTCTGTACGTGATAATTGCATTTTGCTACAGATATAAGCTGTAGAAGATTGCATTGGTCTTTCTCCAATGTTTGTGTCCATTTGTATCTGATAGAATTCTATGGAGCAAATTGTTTTTTTCAGAGTACTCCGCATCATTTTTGGAAAAACTTGTGAAGAATTTGTGGCAACACTTTTGACACATATTCTACATCATGGAAAAAAATTACTGATATTTAATACCATGGATCATGCACTTTTTTTGCAACCTGATTCTAAATGAGTCCAATAGTATTATTTTAATGTATTAACTTAACATGAAAATCACTAGCTGTCTGTAAGTTGCTGTTAGCTTATCAATTATGCAGACATACCATTTTTTATAAATATATATAGTAGTGACAATGACCCAGGGGCCCTTTTTCAAATTCACCTTCCTTTTGTTTTAGGGGAGCTTGTAGAGAACATGGAAGATGTTGCCAATAAAAAATATACTTTAATGAAATCTTCTCTTTACAGCATAACTGACTAGATCACATTCTGTTAAAGGACAACACTGATGATATAGAGGAGATTATATATTGCCATGTTCATAACAGAGACTCATTTTTCTTCACATCCATTGGGATGGATGATTTATTTTCTATATCACTATTTCTTGTTATCTTTCATAAATCACATCTCATCATTTTCTATTTCGAAGGAGCTTTTGTTTTTCACATTTACCAATAATAATAATAATAATAATAATAATAAAATAATAAATCTAAATAAATATATATAATATATTTTAGTGAGTATTATTTTTATTAAATACTTATTTGATTCCTAACAAGGTTATTCACTTCAAGGTGAATTCAAAGTGAATATCAAATTTAAGATCAATATCGCCAAATTGGAAAAATCCTCTACGTCAGCTCTGCTTTAAATTTGGTTATTCTGGTCTTAAAGCTGAAATTCTCTTCGAATTCCATTTGAATTCTCACGTTAGTGAATAACCCTGTTAGGTTGTTTCTGGAAAGCATTGAGAAACTAACATATGTATGTAATTGATAATAAAGATAAACTTAGACAGGACTGGCCAACACGTAGCCGACAAGCTGTCATAGAACTAAAACAACTAAGGGGTGGGAGAAACTTTTTTTTCCCTTTTAGCCATCCCTGCTGTCAGACTGGGTGAGGCAGAGGGAAAGCCTTAATAATTTCTCTCTAAGTCCAGGTGAGATGCAGACAACAAATGAGTGACAGCAGCAAATGTCACAGCCCACACATTGCCCTTAGCTGGCATCTTAATCTGTCAAGGGACATTAATCAGGAAGGGTTTAGTTGCAGTCATTTCATTTACACGAAGTGTAATTAAATCTTCTGGTCTGGATACCTATAAAGAAATGTGAGTGGCACCATGACAAGAGAAGGGAACAGGTCTTTTTGTAAACTGGGGATGAATGTATAAAGACGATGACAATATTGATGCATTCAAAGAGGTAAAAAAGGATTGAGACATATTTTTTCTAAAATAGTTGCATGAAATTGTTCACTTTAAATATGTCATTACAAAAGCAGTAAGTGACAAGTAATTTTAGAACTGGTCTTATAAGAGAGCAGCATCATTATAACAAAGTAGGGATGTGCATGGGCAAAAAATTCGGTTTGGTCGGCTTTCCTAAATTCGGCACTTTGGCAATTCGCTTCGGCACTTCAGAAATTCAGGACTTCGTCAATTCGAGACTTCGGTTTGGTTCGGCACTTCCGAAATTTGGGACTTCGGGATTTCGGCACTTTGGGACTTCAGCACTTTGGAACTTCGAGACTTAGGGTTAGGGGTATGGTTCGGTTAGGAGTAGGGTTAGGGTTAGGGTTAGAGGTTCCCTAACCCTACTCCTAACCCTACCCCTAACCCTACCCTAACCGAACCCAATTCTAACCCTAACTCAACCCTACCCCAACCCTACCTTAACCCTAACCCAATCCTACCCCTACTCCTAACCTAACCTAAGCCTAAAAGTAATCCTACCCCTAACACTACTCCTAACCCTACCCCAACCCCAATCCTACCCCTACCTGTTTTTCCACTTTTCAGAAGTCCGAAGTGTACTTCGGCACTTCCAAAATTTGACACTTCGGCAATTCTGCACTTTGGCAATTTGGTTTGGCACTTCCGAAGTTCGGCACTTTGGACATTCGGAAGCATCCGAATGTCCAAAATTCCATTCGGACCGAACCGAATTGCACATGTCTATAACACAGTTTATAGTGACACCCATCATTACAGAGCGTGGTACAGTGCTGTACCTCAAGATGTATTACTAAATATTTGGAGCTTAAAGGGACACTGTAAACTACTTTAGCAGTCTCTGCTCATTTATCTGCCATTTAAGATTTAAATCACGTTGTTTATACAGCCATAGTCACACCTCCCTGCATGTGACTTGCACAACTTTCCTAAAAAGTTCCTGTAAAGAGACATGTCATTTTAAAACTTTTTATTGCACATTCTGTTTAATTTAGAATTCCTTGTCTCCTGCTCTGTTAATAGCAGTCTAGAGTCCTCAGTGGCCTCCTTTTGGAAATATACAAAATGTATAAACCCAAGTAAGGCAAGAAAAGCAATGGCTCCAAAAAAGTATTTGTCCACCAAGTAATGATAAAATGACCAAAACATATAAATAATGTTGGAGAATAAATATACATGAGATAAAATATAGACCAACGATACATAGAAATGCCAATTTCAGACAAACAAAAGTGAAGCTCTAGCAAAATATAGTTATGCCTTACCTGCCACTCTGTCAAATAATTTCCAAGTAGAACAAGGAGAATGTTGTTACAGAGATTGTATCTCTGATGTAAGCAAATGTATTGCAGCATAGTTATTAGTGTTATTCATTTAGGACCTGTCAACAGTGGGGCTGTTAGGCAGGATAAGCATAACATGGTACGACCAGATACCTCCTCTCCCCTCACAACAAGTTCAGGAGGTGAGGGGTTAAAAAAAACCTAGTGTACCCCTGAAACCCAAGGAGAGTGCCAAGGTAATGGCTTTTCCCCTCAAGTAGCATGCAAGTGGCAGAATGGGCAAACATTATGTAATTAAAATGTACATTTGGACCATATAAAATAGCTGTTATTATGTTGGTGGTAGGTAAATAAAGTATGTTTGATGCAACCACTATTGTTAAAATTTTTCATTATATAATATTTGAAGAAGTTGTGCTGATCAATACCAGTTAAAATGAATAGCTTTGGAAACAGTGAACAGAACTATGGAACAAACTGAAACAACGGTGTGAAACCAACAAAACAAACTGAAACATAAAACTTCTCTTTCAAGAACCATAAAACGAGCATGCCATAAAGATAAAAAGTACATGAAATGCTCATAAAGACTACGTTGGAATTCCATTAAAATTTCATAAGACAAAAGGCGGAGCTGCCTTTTGTCAAGCCTACTCAAGCTCCCTGCCATCACCACTAGAGATGGCTGAAAGAGAATAGGAGGGTCACACAGTCTCGCAGGATCCTCCATAGTCATCAATATTGTACTGACAGGCATGCGTGAAAGTACAGCACTGACGACGACTCCTGGCAGATGAAGCCCCAAAAACTGAAGAGGACCTCGCTGGAGATGGTGGCACCCACAAGGGACAGGCAGTTATTATAGCAGTAAGTGCATGAATCATATTCAATCCTTTCAGATGTTTCTCTGTGGAAGATTTTCGTCTACTAGAATATGTATGTCAGTAAATAAAATAATTACATGTAAGAATTAAAATACCCATGCAGAATGACAAATGCTGTTTGCCAGAGGCTTTGATACAATTATTCTGAGATTTGCAGGGGAATGAAACAATGATTTAAAATATTCTAGATTAAAGTTGTTGTTTTTTAAATAATTTAGTCAAGAATATACTGTTAGTCTTTATTTTTTTCGCGGTCTTCATGCTGTCAATTTTTATATAATGTGGAAGTTACACTTCCACATTATATGTAGGCCCCCAACAGTTCTGATTTTGTGGTCCTGTCCTGCCACCTTGATTTTGTTCTCTGGTGTACTGCATCCGGGAACACCAGAGAACCGTCTTCAGACTTCACAGTGTACTGGCACTAGGACCCTGCGGAGAGTGCTCTAGCAGTGGTCTCCAGGGCCGCCATCAGGGGGTGACAACCATGACGAGCCCCACGTGGAGCGGCGAAACTGCCGCAGGTGCATCTTCACTGGGGCCCCGATGGGTCCTATATCTTCAGGGGCCCGGTCAGTGCTGCGGCCGCGTAATAGCGCGACCGGGCCCCTTTAAAAAAAAAAAATGCACCGCAAGGGCTGCTGGGAGGAAGTGACAGCCGGTCACTTCCTCCCAGCTTACTCCGCGTGGGGGTGGGGAGAGACAGCCGAGGAGAGGAGAGGCATCACATCTGCTCCCATCATCCCCAGCCACCCTCCTGCAACTTAAAGGTAAGGAATGGGAGGGTGGCTGTTAAATGAGGTGTGTGTGTATATGTATGTGTCTGCATGTATGTTTGTTTGTCAGTATGTATGTATGTCTGTCAGTATGTATGTATGTATGTGTGTATATATGTCAGTATGTATGTCTGTGTGTGTGTCAGTATGTATATATGTCAGTATGTATGTATGTAAGCCTGTGTGTGTATGTCAGCAGGGCCGCTATCAGAAATTTTGGGGCCCCTAACACAGTTCAAAGTCTGAGCCCCCCTTCAAGCCCGCCCACAGGGCCCACCTCCAAATCCCGCCCACAGGAATACACCCACAGAAAGATACACACATACTAACAGATACAAATACTGAAACAAACATACACACATGCATAGGGAGATACTGACACACACACACACACACACATATACATGCAGACATACATACTGACAAACATACATACAGACCCACACTGGCATACATACATATATCCTGGCATACATACATACACACACTGGCATACATACAGACACACAGTGGCATACATACATACATACATACATACATATACACACATACATACAGACACACACTGGCATACATACATATACTGGCATACATACATATACTGGCATATATACATACATAAATACATACACTGGCATACATACATACATACATATACTGGCATATATACATACATACATACACACACATACTGCATACTGATATATACATATATACATACATACTGACATACATACACATACTGGCATTCATACATACAGACACACACTGGCATACATACATACTGGCATACATACATACACACACTGGCATACATACAGACACACAGTGGCATACATACATACATATACACACATACATACAGACACACACTGGCATACATACATATACTGGCATACATATATACATATACTGGCATATATACATACATAAATACATACACTGGCATACATACATACATACATATACTGGCATATATACATACATACACTGGCATACATACATACATACATATACTGGCATACATACATACACTGGCATACATTCATACATACATACACAGGGCCGTCTTTAATACTGACCGGACCCTGGGCAACCATTTGCTTGGGGCCCCTGGACCCTGCCCCCTCCCAGACATACTAACACACATGCACTGACAGACATACTGACACACATGCAGACACATATACTGAATGACACACATTGACAGACATACTGACACGCGCAGACACATACACTGAATGACACACATTGACAGACATACTGACACACGTGCAGACACATATACTGAATGACACACATTGACAGACATACTGACACGCGCAGACACATACACTGAACGACAAACATTGGCAGACATACTGACACACACACAGACATACACTACAGACATACTGACACACATACACAGACATACAGACACATACAATGACAGACATACTGACAGACACACTGATATACACAGACAGACATACTGACACAAGCACAGACATACACTGACAGACATACTGACAGACATACTGACACAAACAGAGACAGACATACTGACACAAACACATACCCTGACACAAACACACACATACACAGACCTAAACATACACTGACAGCCCTACTGACACACACATACACAAACATACTGACATAAGTTTACACTTTTAAACCCACCCACAAGTTTCCTACCTTGGAAGGTGGTTCCCCAGTGTCCAGACTGAAGGCTGAGGCTGTTGGGATCTGCCTCTCCCAGCACAGGCTCCCTCCTTCATCTCCCGCGCAGCTCCTCTCCTCAGTGGCAGGAAGTGACTCGCAGCCGTCACTTCCTCCCAGCGCTGCCAAAAAGCAAAGGGCCCGGTCGCGCTGTTAAAGAGCTACAGCGTGTGACGGGGCCCCTGCTTACAAATATCCACCTAGTGGCCTCCTTAATGTGCATGCCGGCGGCCCCATGGGGGAAAAAATTGTTGAGGGCAGCGGGGCCCACGGGAAAGCTGTCTTGGGCCCCCCAAGAGTAACAGGGCCCAGGGCAGCTGCCCTGTTTGCCCCGCGTTAAAGACGGCCCTGTACATACATACACTGGCATACATACATACATACACTGGCATACATACATACACTAGCATACATACATACACTGGCATACATACATATACTGGCATACATACAGACACATACTCACATACATATATACACACACCTCATTTTCAGCCTTACCATTTCGTCGCAGGAGGGTGGCTGGGGATGATGTGAGTTGGCTGCCTCTCCTCGCAGCCTTCATGCTGTCTCTCCTCCTTCCCGGGTGTCACTTCCTCCTGATCTTCCTCCTTGGTTGACATCATCAGAATTGATGATCTAAGCTAATCCAATGCTTTCCCATAAGAAAAGCATTGAATTGGCTGAGATTGTGAAGAAGGCGGGGCACGGGACAATGTGGTGGACCTACCTGGCACTGGAAATTAGGCAGGTTT